TCCTATTATTCTGCTACATGGACATAGTATCAAAGCACCCTCTAGGTCCATATCTAGACCCACAGATTAGTGCAGCTCTCAGTCCTCATCTGAGAGGTTTCTGGTGTGCTACATGGCAGTTAATGCAGAAACTCACAACTGGTCATCTGTGGTACTCAGACACACCCAGGACATCTACGTCACATCCCTCCCCAAAAGGCTCAGGGGCCACTGAGGAAGGGGAGAAGAAAGCTTGTAAAGTCCAAGGTTGGCAGAGAAATCAGAGTCTTCCGGACTTGACAGGACCATGATGCTCAGGAACTCACAGCAGCTGTGGATGCCTTAACAAGACTTCCACAGGATGAGGCCGGTCAGCATTCCAATATGGAGGAGGGAGGGTCTGACAAGCCTCTGCCCCGAGCTGAGGAGCTGTGGACAGTTAATGGGTGCCAGGAGAGGGAGGGTCGGTTTTCTTTAAGGGTGTGGCTCCTGGTAGGTGGACCATTCTCTAGTGGATGGTTCCAGGCCCATTGTCAGGAGAAATTGGACTCGATGGATCATAAAAAAAGGACACAAAGTTGGGGTTCAGGAATTGGGCAAGGATCTGGAGAGATTTAGGGGGACAAATGGAGTAAATATAATCAAAACATATTGTATGTAATTCTCAAAGAATTAATAAAAATATTCTTTTTTTTTTCTTGCTTTTTTTTTCTTTTGGTTTTTCAAGATAGGGTTTTTCTCTCTGTAGTGTTGGTGGCTGTTTTGGAACTCACTCTGTAGACCAGGCTGGCCTCGAACTCACAGAGATCCGCCTGGCTCTGCCTCCCAAGTGCTGGGATTAAAGGCGTGCGCCACTGCTGCCCAGCATAAAATATTATTTAAAAAAAAGAATTTTACACAAAAGATTTTACCCACAGAGGGCCCCTCCTCATACACTTCATTAAAATGTCCCCTGTCCGCTCAGACACGGCCGCTGCTCTAGTCACTTCCGTCTCTACCTGTGGCTCCCGTCTTCTACCCTGGATTTGGGCTCTCCTCAGCTGAGGGGCACTACTGAGGTGCTTGTTAGTGAGTGACATGTGCTTGTGCCAGAGATAACAGAGCACTCTTGTTCCCAATGAACTTAATGAGGACTACGACAGAAACACACGATCACTATCAAAAACTTATAAAACTTCACATATAGAAGCTCGGCTTAGTGGTTAAGAGTGCTTGTTGTCTTACAGAGAACAGGGTCCTGTTCCCAGCAGCCACACTGGGCAGCTCACAGCCACCATAGCCCCCACTCCAGGGGATCTGATGCCCTCTTCTGGTCTCTTCAGGCACACACACTGACATGCACATACACACATGTGTGCATGTGTATGTGCACATACACACACATAAGTAATTTTAAAATATTTATTTAAATATATTTACCTCACGTGTATGTGTGTACATATGTATGTGTGTGATATTTACATATGGTCACTTAACTTTATGATTGGCAACAACATTACATGTCAATCATAGCTGTTAATATTGTGGCTTGTTTCTATCCAGTTGCTTTTCTTGTTTAAAAAAAAAGACAATGAAAGAAGGAAGCATTTAAAGAAAATGACCATCACCATCATAATGATGCATTCTGAACCTTTATAAGATGTTTTCCATACAATATCCATGACTGAGTAGCCGTCCAGCTGGAGACTGGGTCAGGATATATTTACTCAATTTTCTTTGCCAAATACTTGAGTAATATTAATTTATTTTTAACAGTTCTGAATCACCCTGCAATAAAAATATCACAAACTACTATTTTCACGTGTTCATGATTAATTACCAAGGACAAATCTTCCAAGTAACGTGTCTCAGTTCTTTTACAGTTTTCTCTTTGGTCCCAGAATTGTCTGGGTTAATTTTTTTTTTCAGTTTTTTTTTTTTTACTTTACTTTATTTATACAGCTTGGATTTTTGGTAGACATCTTATTGAAGATTATCATACTTGGTAAAAACATACAGAAATCATAAATACTAGCTCAGTGGAAGGCTGTGTGTGAACATGGCTGTAAAATTTATGCTTAATGCAGATCTGTGTGGGGACATCACCCCAGGGACCCACTTGTACCCATCTTGACACCCCTGTGCCCCACCTAACAATGAACACGCTTCTGCCTGCCTTTGAAATTCACATGGATGGAGCACTCCAGTGTATGGTGTGTGTGTGTGCATGTGATATATGTATATATGTATGTATGTATGTATGTATGTATGTATGTATGTATGCATGTGTGCATACCTGTGTACATGTGTATATATATATATATCTTTGTGTGAGTATGTGTTTGCATGTATCTGTGTGCATGTGTGTGTATGAATGTGCCATGTGTATGCATGTGTGTATGTAGTGTGTGTGCATGTAAATTAATGTATATGTATGCATGTAAATGTGTATGTGTGTAGTATACATATATATGTATGCATATATGTGCATATGTATATATGTGTGTGTGAATGTATGCATGTGTGTATATATGTGTACATGGTGTGTATGTATGTATATCTGTGTGAGTGTGTGTGTGTGTGTGTGTGTGTGTGTGTGTGTGTGTGTGTTTGGAGCCTCATTCTGCCTGTGCTTCCTTTAGCTTTTGGAGCATGCTGCTGCCTTTTGCTGTGGTTCAGGGAAGCCCGTGACCCCTCTTGATTTCCACGGCTCCCAGGACACTCGAAGCAGCAACCCCAGGACAGCCTCATCCTCAGTCTCTGGGATGTTAGCCAAATCACACTACCATCCACAGGGACTCCTCCTTAGACCCGCAAACATCCCCGGAAGAGATGTCTAGAACCTCTTCTATGTGACGACCACAGATGTAGCATGCCTTCTGCACCCCAGGGAGAGTCCATCCCACCGCTCAGGCCGCTGTGAAGTTGAGCGGTGGTGAGGAAGTGTCCAGTGTGGGAATGTAGACTTGTGGACATGTCAAGGCTTCAGCGTCTTTAAAGGCCTGAGTGCCATTTTCATCTTTTGGGTAAAGTTCTCAGGGTGCCGGATGGCTATGGGACGAACAAGGAAGAATTGAATCAGTCAGTGAGTCGGACGCCCTCTGCCAGAAAGGACCTTTTGTTGTATGGGAACAAGAGTCGTCTGCTGTGGTGGGTCTGTGAGGGGGCGTCCACGGGGGCAGCAGGCCCTGGCCGGCCCCATGCTGGGCAGATCCATGGGCTGGAGATGAAGGCTGAGTCCCTGCAGCTGTGGCTGCCAGCCTGGCCTGTGACTGGCCTGGTGCTCCAGTTCTACCGAGGAAACACAATGGGGCATTGTGACCACTTCCCCATCCCGTCACAGGCCCGGTTACTCATCGAGGATGTTGGCGAGCCTGGCTGAGAACACAGGGTCCTTGTGCCCCGACTGAGCAGCAGACATGGCCGTTGTGTTCATTACACGGCCATTCAGAGGACGCTACAGAAGATGGGTCAACTGGAGGTCATGTGGACGGTCCCCTCCCAGGACCACTCCAAAAACAGAAATCATGGCAGTACCCTCCCCTAGGAGGTGCCCCAGACAGTACACTGGGAAGGGTGGTTTTGTGGCTTAGAGCCATGTGTGTGGAGGGACCTGCTTGCCATCTGCTCACTCCCTAAATGGGACCCCTAAGGGCTTTCTAGCACACTGGATAAAATGATAGCTCTCACTGAGTCCTCCAGGAGATGACTCCAAATCCTCCTGCTCACTCCTCTGCTCACCATATTCTGCTCACATGCCCTGATTTCCGACATGCTATCCAGTGTTCTCCCTAGCCTTTGCCTGACCAGGTCTCCAGATCTCTATTCCAGCTCAGCTCTCTGGCATCTCAACTCTGAGCTTGCCCCGCTCACCTCTGTACCTCATATCCCTGGAGCAGGGCCTGCCAGAGGAGAGACACTCGCTGAATACTTCTGACATCTAACAGGAAGCCTGACAGAGTGGAGGCTCTGTAGATATGGAAGAGGGGGAAATTGAGGTGCTAAGGAGATGGAGGCAGGAGAAAACCACCTTCTGCCCATGCCTTGGGCCCCTTTGGAGTGGAACTGTCTGTGTTCTGGATCACACGGCAGGAGAGCAGCATGCTTGCACCCTTCTGGGAGCCCTTCCGGTAGAGCTGGGCTGACAGAGCACGCTGGGCACAGGACTGGCGACACCAGCTTTGCCGTTATAACCCATCGGTCCTTCTCAAACATGTCCACTAGGCCTGGGCACAGGACTGGCGACACCAGCTTTGCCGTTATAACCCATCGGTCCTTCTCAAACATGTCCACTAGGCTGGACCCTGTCCCCGCTTACTCTTCAGCACCAGTCATGGCTTCCCTTGGAGACTGCCAAAGCTCATCTGGGACAGGAGTCAATCCTGCTCTTTGATTGGACAGTTGGAAACCTGCGGGTCCATGGCCAGGTGGATGCTAGTACAAGGGACCTTGGTCTTCCCCTCACCTGGGTTCCACTGCATCCTCTAAAGGGCTGGCTGACTGCCTAGGGATTATGGCCTACCTGCTGGATGCATTAAACTCTGGGTCACAAGGACCTACCCAATGCAATGCTTGATTATTCAGAAATTACTTTTTAGGCTTCTCAGGGTAAAGGAACTCTGGCCCCTGCATTTCACAGGGCCCTAGTGTGCTGGGCTCCCACAGGACAGCCCCATCCCAGCCAACAGCTTCCTCTTAGTCCTTCCCAGTCCACACTACGACCCCCAGGAGTGCTTCACGCTGCATGGGCTGGAATGTTGGGGACAGAGTCCCCATGGCACTGTTGGCTTTGTCTTGAGGAATTGGGAATTGATGAGTTGCACCCTTCTAGGAGGTTGACTTGAGAATGTCAGTTGATGCTTTCCCTGGAGGAGAAACTCAGTGTTAGGGTGAGATTAGAAGGTTTCCTCCTGTAGTGATCATTTTTCACGTCTTGAATTTTTTATTTAGACAAAAAGAGAGAAAGCAATGACCCCAAGAGTCACAGTCGTGTATTAGCTACTCTTCAGTTTCTGTGATGAAACACGAGGCTCACAGGCAACTCAAAGAAGAGGGGGTTTATTTTGTCTTATGGCTCCAGAGGAATTGTGGAGCAGAGGCTTGGCAGCCAGGGGCAGGCAGCTGAGGGCTCTCATACCCAACCACAAGCAGGAAGCAGAGATGAACTTGGAAGTGGTTCAAGGCTTTAAACTCCAAAAGCCCGCCCCTAGTGACTTGTTTCCTCCAACAAGGCTGCCCCTCCCAAATCTCCCCAAACAGCATCATCAACTAGGGACCAGGTGTTCAAACACCTGAGCCCATGGGGGACATTTCCCATCCAATCCACCAAAATTTGGGAGTAAACGATGTCACAGATGGGGAGGAGGGCTAAGAGAGTAATACTGTTAATCGTGGCAATACTGTTGCTCTCTTTATTACTTCTGGTGGTGCATGTGTTGGTGGCCGTGTGCACGAGGAAGTCAGTGGCTGATGCCCAGTGTCTTCTCATGGCTCTCCACTTTGCTCTTTGAGGCAGAGTCTCTCACTTGAACCCAGAGCAGGCCAATATGACTAGTTCAGCTGGCCAGCTTTCTCTGGGGATTCGATCTCCACCTCCCAAGCATCAGGATGACAAGTGGGATCCACTGTCTGTCTATCATTGACATGGGTGCAGAGGACTAGCAAAAAAGGATTTAGCATCCTTTTTTATACAAGGTTAAGAGGATAGTTTGGAACACTGGATAATATGGTTGATGGAAATTGGCTTTCGATTTTTATCATCCGACAAGGACTTACTTGAAATTTTCAGTTCTTTGCTGGTAATCTAAGGTGCTTTGGGGATTGCTTTCAAGTTTAAGGAAACCTCTGCTGGGTCTCTTTCTTTGCTGCATTGTAAGACTTAAGGACACCTCAGGCCATCTGTGGCCTGAGCTCTCTTAAATATCCCTTAAACTGACTTCACTCAGGCTGTGCCTGGAAGGCAGTTAGCTCTGTGTCAGTGTGACTGGGCTGTGGGCTGCCCACCGAGGTGGCTAAGTTCTATTCCTGGGTGTTTCTGGGAGGATGTTTATAGAAGATGGCAGACAGAGTAAAGGTGATCTACCTTCACCAGTATCAGTGGGCACCACCCAGTTTGTGAGGATCTGAGCACGTGGAAACACAGGAAGGACCAGCTGGCTCCTCCATCCGGAGCTGGGGCATGCAACTTCTACTCCTGGGTGTGGGACACCCTGGGCCTCTGGCCTTTAAGCTTGGGCTGGAGTGTGACCATCACTCTCTTAGAATTGCTGCTAGCCAATGGCAGCAGTGGGAATTCTTGACCTCATTGTCACATGGGGAGTGTCTCACAGTAGCCTCTTTCCATCTGTGGATAAGTGTGCACAGGGAGGTATACACATGTGTATATGGAGAAACTGTAGATGTGTGTATAAATGTCTCTTTGGAGCCCTGGCTATTAAAAGCTTCTCAAAACACCCTCACCTTTGTGTTGACTGTGCATGTCACCTTTTGACCTAAAACAAGTGGGCAAGACACTCCGAGGAACACTCTTTTATCCAAAATAAAATAAATGTGAGTGATTTGTGGGTAACTTTGTTCTCGAGCTCACTGTGTGGGGCTTACCGGTCCCCTGACTACTTCAAGCATCACATCATGCTTGCTCCAAGCCTGCTGCTCCAAGGCAAGGCTCTGCTTTCTTTGGCAGTGAGAAGATCTACATTTCCAAGCCTCCAAATGATCTGGAATTTGTATCACATTTGCCTGTTGTTTTTTTTTTAATTTTAGAATTTATTATCTACAAACTTTTTACATAATAACAGTGTGTCTTGAGGACTAGGAGATGGCTCAGTTGAGAAAATAAAAGCATGAGGTCCTGAGTTCAGATCTTCAGCAAGCAGACAAAAGTGTAGCCATGTCAGGGCACACCTGTAACCCCAGTACTCAGAGGTGGAGACAGGAGGATCCCTGTGGCTTGCCAGCCAACCAACCTAGCCAGATTGGCAAGAGACTCTGTCTCAAAAAATAGGTGAGGAGTGTCTGAGGAAGAGGCCCAATGTTGACCTCTGACCTCCACATGCATGTGTGCACCACATGCATATACCCCACACAGCATGCACATACCAATGAGAACGGGTATGAACACCCCAGAGACACACAAGTAATAGTTTTGTAGGGGTAGCTAGGCATGCTGTGGCACACTTGTAACCTGAACTGCATGGCAGGCTGAAGCTAGGGAAGGAGGAGTTTGAGGCTAACCTGGGCTACGTAGCTATGTAGTCTGTATCAACAAGAAAGACTAACTGAGAGAGCGACTTGTTCTTCTTTGCTCTTCTGTTGACACAGCAGCAGGGGAGGCCAGTGCTGCTTTCTCCACAAGCATTTTTGGTCTCTTCACTTCAAGTGGCACTCACACACTTGGTCCAAAGTGATTTCTCCAGCCTAGTTCACCAAGAGGAGGGTCAGGAGTCTCTTATTGACCTCCCCCGACAGAAGCACTGTGTGGTTGGCTGGTGTATTGGCTGTCTTTGTGGTCTCCAGAGTACAGGAACTGACTGAGCAAGGGTGCTGTGGATGTCTCTTCCTGCAGGACACAGGAGTTGGGGCTGCCGGAAGCACCTTGCCCAGCACCCCTGTGGAAAGGCCTATGGCAGACACTAGTAACCCCAATGTCTCTGAAGATGTAGCTAAGCAGGGAAGGCATTTGTCCAACAGCAAAGCTTTTTAGAGCCAAGCCTGGATCTCCCTGAGTCCTGGACCCTGGCTCTGACCTCACCCCCTTACTACCTCCCAGAGTGGGATATTCACAGACAGGACTACATGGGGCTGGCCTGGAGCCTGCGTGGCCGTGGGAAAGATACAGTCCCGTGGGAACATGGTCAGCTGGCTCCATTGAGCTGGGAAGCTTTGAAACTGGGTGGTGTCCAATGTGCTGGCCAGTTCCTGTGGCTTCCACAGGCTGGGAACACAGAACTCTGCTCTGACCTGAGGCTCAACGTGCCAACCAGGCCCCAGAGCCATGCCATTGATGTGGGGATGGAAGAGGCAGAACCCCATTCCAGAGAGCTGACAGTGGGGTGTATCTCAAAGAGGCCCAGGGTCAAATCATCCTGCCCCATGCATTTCCAGCAATCATACTGTGTGCAGCAGAGGTGGACACCTACTGTAAGCCTCCCAGTCTTGGAGGATGAGGCTGTGCACTTCCCGGAACTGTGGTCAGTGAACTTGGGAGGGCTGAGGCTCCTCTGGTGGGGAGGATGAGAAGTCAGTTGACTTTATTACAGGACCCTGAAATAAGCTGTCCAAAGCATCCGCCATGTCTAATGACAACAATGGCTGCCACTGTCACGGTCTCCAGATGACAGATGAATGGCAAATCAGGAATGCATGTTAACTCAGGCTGGTCCACATTAACCCAGGCTGGCCCACATTAACCCAGGCTGGTCTTCACTATCAGGCCTATGATAGGAGAAGACTTCAAGCCATAACCTTCTGACACAAAAGCAATCACTCTAGAGGTAGCCAACCAGCTTCTTGGCATCCCTCACCTGGATTCTCTCAGTCAGAACCTAAGCCTTGGGCCTCTGTGAGCAACACCCTGGCCTTTACCCAGAGCAGAAGCCTTAGGTGGATTAAGACCAGCTGTCAGAGAAGCCCGGATGAAGGACAGGATGAGCAAGCAAATGCACCCGAGGTCTCCTTGGACAGCAAAATCAAGGTTGGCACTATTTCCTGGAGAAGTGAACTCCTGTGTCCCAGCCTCCTAATCTGGAGTTCCAAGTTCCCAGGATGTTTCTAGAACAGTGGTTTTCAACCTTCCTAATGCTATGACCCTTTAATACAGTTTCTCACTCTGTGGTAATCCCAACCATAAAATTATTTTTGTTGATACTTCATAACTGTCATTTTGCTACTGCTATGAATTGTAATGTAAATATCGATGTTTTTGGATGGTCTTAGGTTTTCTGAACCCCGAAAGGGATCACGACCCACAGGTTGAAAATCAATTGCTGGTCTAGAGGCTGGTGATACACTTCCCAACCAGAGTCCACTGTAGGGGTTCCAGGTGACCCCAAGTAGGTGGACATTTCAAAATAGTCTCTTTGCAGCACCCTGTATTCCTGCCTCACCCTGTCCTAGGACTGTGGAATGAGGAGTTAATTGCACCCCATGCGGTCCCCGTCCTCGGTGCCCTGTTTTTTTCCTTCTTGTCTAGCTATTAAGATGTTGACCAGCGAGCGCTTCCGTCAGAATCTTGGCAGTCCATGCTCTTGAACCCTAAACAAAGGGGCCGGGGCCCGGGAGGGCCTGGGAAGAGGACATGGGGCCAGGGACGCGGCCATGGGCTCTGAGGTCCCCTTTGTCTTTTGAGCTCTGCACTTGGACCAGGGGAAGTTCATGGCCAGTGCATCAGCTGGTGTCCCAGTGGCTATTAAAGACATCCTTCTGTGAGAACGGGTGGGGCTCAGCTCCCAGGGGGGCTGGCGAGTAGGGGCCTCTGCAAAGAACGGCCACTGTCACAGGAAATCAGAGAGCTGCTGTCACCAACACTCAGGCCCGAGTTGGAAGCGATTATCGGAGAGAAGAGCTGGCAGCTCCTGCTGGTGGCGTGGCCGGGGAGGGGCCTGTCCCCGTCCCTACCAGGACATCATGGAGGGTGCAGGAACAGGGAGCCCAGGACAGAGCCAAGGGCAGCCACAGGGCAATGCTCGCTCTCTATGTCCCACACAGTGTGCCAGGCCAGGATGTGCACGGCCAGCCTTTTCCAGCTATCCCACAAAGGAGTAATTGTGGCCGTGTGAGACGACAGACCTGTGCCGGAACCAAGGCTGTTCGGCAGTGAGAAGAGGCCAGACCTTCCGCAACAGCAGCCTCTGCCCTTGCCACAAGTGACCTGCCACCCTACGGGCCAAGTGACTTCCTAAAGTGCACACCCAGTAGGGGCCTCTTCGAGTGGCGTGCTGTGGCTTCCCAGTGCCCTCTCAGGGCCCTTATCACTCATGCACTCTGTAACACTCCAGGGATGTTTCCTCCATTTCTCCTTTCCGTCTCTCGCTGCCGTCTTCCCCCATCCCTCTTTTCTCTGATCTAGGCTCTATTGCTTCTGTCTCCCACCACCGACAACATGACAAATCCTTTGTACCTTGTTGTTGTCTGCACCCGTGCATGCCTGGGCACACACAATCACACAGAACTGTGAACTCTGCGAGGGTGTCGGGTGTCCAGGGTCACATCTTTCTGTCTACCACTCCCTCTAGGGGGGCCACACAGCATCTAGTTAAAAGTAGGGATGGGTGAGTGGGTGCACCGAATGTGAGGTCCCCTCCTGTAGTCTCACTCTTGCCAGGATGCCGCCAGTGCCTTTTTGTGAGGATTTTCCTGGCCACGTGTGGCTCTGTGGCTGAGGGAAAGCTGTGGCCGGTAAAGGCGTGGTTAGTTAGGGCCAACTTCGAGGGAGCAGGCAGAGCAGCCAGATCAGGATCCACGGCAGGAAGAAAGAACTGTTACCGCACCCATTGCTCCCCAGGCGATGAGAGCAGGCTCCATCTCATGCCTGCCAGCCAAGACTGCAAGAGACCGCCAGGAGGGGTGGAGGAGCCGCCGCCTACGTCCCTCTGCCCCCAGGCTCTCTGGTACAAGGTTTTACTGGCACTTGACCCAGTGCTGCCTGGTCCCCTCTGACCTGCAATGCTGCAGGGACCTCAGGCCAGGTGGGATAAGGACCTACAACATAGCCTGGGACCCAACCAGCTGCTGCTTCCTGGACCTGGCTCTCCCTATTAGGAAACAAGAGGCCGAGGAACCTATGCGCCAAGAACCCCTCCCGAGAGCTATGCCTGCCAGGTGGCTTGTGTGGTGCGTCTTGTAAGCACTGTGTGAGGGATGCCGGGGTTCAGAGCCGTGATCTAGCCGTTATTGCTCTGCGCTCTGGAGATCTACGTTTATATTCATAGACCAGTGCGGCTCTCAGAATAGTCAGAGAAGCCTCAGTTTGCAGTGGGCAGCGGTCAATGCAGAGACGTGTAACTGGTTTAAAGTGCTGAGAGGAAGTGATGGTTGAGTCCTGTGTCTCCCGCTCCAAGGCTCAGGGAACACGGTGGACCAGGGAGTAGAAAGAATGTAAGAGCTGAGGGATCGAGAGGGCTGCTGGGAAGTGCTCTCTTCTGGACATGGCATAGCTGTTGTGCCCACAAACTCACGGCAGCTATGGTCATCCGCACAGGATAAGCTAGCGCGCATGGGGAGGGGCTCACAGGGCCCCACCAGTCCCTCAGAAGCAGTTGGCGGTTCATAGCTGATGGGAAGTGTGTATTGTTTAAGGGGATTTTTTATTTCCTCTTTATAGGTCTCTATCATCGTCATAAAGCTGTTTTTAAGGTCCTTTTCTTCTGCTTCTTCTATGTTGGGATGCTCAGGTCTTGCTGTTGAGAACCACAACAGAACAAGGTTCTGTGGGGCCATAATGCTCTTTATGCTGTTGAACGTATTCTTGCACTGGAGTCTACCCATCTCTTCCTCCAACTGGTGTAAGCGGTGTCTGTGTCTCAGGGGGCCGCTCTTGGTCCAATCGGCGCTGGCTGGTGTCTGTGTCTCAGGGGGCCGCTGGGGTCTTGGGGAATGAGTGGGTTTGGGGAACAGAGTGGGACTTGTAGATTACAGGGTCTGAGTGGGGTGGGGGGTGGCCAGGCCTGCCTATAGGAGTCTTCCCTGCTGGCCCACAACTAGGGCCAATTGGAGCTGGTGGAGTCTGTGTCTCAAGGAGCAGCTGCGGTCTCAGGGATTGGGAAGTGTGTATTGTTGATATGGGCAAGGCCATGTCAAGAACCCCAAGGCCTTGGATCCATGGAAGATTGGCAAAGCCTTTCCCTGGGCCAGGCTCAGAAGTGGCAAAGACTTCAGTCCAAGTATGAGCATTTGTGAATGACCGGTGTGTACAAACACTGGCGGCTGCAGCTCCATCCTCCAGGACGTTTAGACAGAGATTGCTCATCTTGGAGACCTCCCACTGAGAGCAGCTGACCCTCTCCTTGCGCTGTCCCTAACGGAGAGCCCAGGAGTCAGGTTCCATCAGAGTGCGCGTGACCCCAGCTCTTCTGTGCTCACGTCTGCCATTTCTTCAGTTGCTCTTGCTCACCAATTGTGCATGCGAGTCACGCTAACCAAGCTTGCCGGGGCACCAACAATACACCAAAGTAGGAGGGGCTTGCTGGGACGAGGAGATTCTGTGGGAGGGAGGGAGAGAGGGTAATGGGGGGAATACTATTAAAGCACATTTTATATCTGTTAAATCATGAAAGAGGAAATAAAAATAAAAACAGAAGAAAGAAAAAGCCCTTTCAATGTGTGAATGGTCCTTCCGTGTCTGCCAGGAACCCGTAGATTATTTTACAGTGACCAACATGATGATAAGCGGGAAGCCTAGGCATAAGAAGTCACAGTCCCTAGCCTGGGGTCACACAGCACCAAAGGGGCTGAACTTGGATTGAGTCAAGTGCCACACTGAAGACCTGTGCTCTGCCTATGTCTCATGCTCCTTGACTGGCCTGTGGCCTCCTGTGATTTAGAATAAGGATCCAGCCAGCATCAGCAGTCAGAAACGAGACTCAGGGATTCTTCTAGGCTCAGGCGCACACCGAACAGTGAGTACTGGTAGATTCTGGACATAAGCCATGCTGACCTTGGACAGAGAGCACACTCTCTGACTTGGTTTTCTCACTGGTGAACTAGGAATTGAATGGCAACTCCAGCTAGTGTGAGGATTGCTTGACAGGGGACGAGTCTGGTGTAGAGTGAACGCTCGATAGACAAGGATGCTAGGAACGTAAGTGAAACTGTTTTGTGTGACTTAAAAGTCATTTTATGTGACTCAGAATAATGTAATGCCCATAAAACAGGAGCCTGCTACCAGGCAGCTCAAATAGGAACTACCCCACCCACCCCACACACAACACACCCACCCCACCCACACACAACAAGCTCTGATGTATTAATGGACTGAAAGGCAGCTCAGATATGAGCCAAGCCCAGGTCAGGCCTTGATATACTAGAGAACAAACCCCAAGGTGATGCTGATGTGCTAGTGAACCAGCCCTAAGCTGTGAGTCCCAGGGCTACAGCTCAATGAAATGATACAAAAATTGGAACTTTGGAGGTGGCCCCCAGGATCACACAGCCATGCCTTCAAGATACGACATGGCATCCTAAGCCTCTGCACTAATGCACATCAGCAAGTGTACTTTGAGACTGTCTCTGTGTGTGGCTCTGGCTTCAGTGACCCCTGAACGTCTGCACCATCGCTGAGCTCACATATACCTACCTATTAGTGCCAGCCACTGCCAGCCACTCTCAAGACCTTCTGGATCTCCACAAGTGCCACCTTCCAGTCTGCCACAGTTAAGGTCTTCACAGAGGACATGGGTCATGCCTGCAAGGCTTCCAAAATATCCTCACTGATGAAGATTCACCGGTGGAACTCTGCATCAGCATTTTCAGCTGGACTAGTGCCCTACTCAGTGAGATGCCTGGTTAACATTTATACCAGCATGGTATTATGAGGAATGTTTGTATGAACAAACTGAGCGTAGTCTACAGACAAATCTTGTGTGGACATCCTAGCTGCGGAGCACCTCACAGCCCACCAGCCATTCTCTCTGCCAAGAGTCACAGTGAAAGTGACTGGTGTCGCCTGACCCATCTATGGGTCATCTGAGATGCTTTTGCTTGATAAGATGGCTTTCTGATACACATGTGGGTGTTCTTTAAGCTTCTATAGTAGCTGGCTAGCTTTTTAATTATTGTGTGATGCTATCCTGGGCAGACATGAACACATGTCCACTCCAGATAGAGAACCAAAGACAGATCAAAGCATGGACACCACCAAAGTCCAGCTGGGAGAACCAAAGAGTTAGGTGATGGGTTACTCACAGGAGCAGAAATGATTCAAAGACAGCTGTATTGCCAAAGCCCTCCCTAGTGTGGGTGACAGCTCATGAAAGCTGGGATCCTGGAGTACACTGAATGGTGTGCAGGCAGTACAACGGGTCAGAGTCGCTTCCACACATCTCCGCTGGCCTCTGTCTCCTCAACCGTCCTGAGGAGCTTAGTGCATCTGGTTGGTTTCAGGGGCTTCCTGAGGTTTCTGGCTTGTCTATTTCCTGAGTTTAAGGAGCCCCCTGGAATTCCTTGAGTCTTTAGAAACTGCATGATGGTAATGAGCTTTGAAGAAATTTGCTAGACTACATGAACAGAGTTTAAAAGTTAGCTTGTACAACTTCTTCTTTTTACTTCTAAATGATCACGAGCCTATTCCCTTGTCTGTTTCAACCTGGGTGTTTTCATGGCCCCTCTGCCCTGCCTCTCTGATGACACCTCAGTGTTTACTCAAAGTTTCACTGTTGCACGCTGCTGTAAACACATCACTCTGTGTGAAATGCTGGGGGCATGTGTGCAATGAAAGTCACTTCAAAAACAGGAATGAAGTTGGATCTCTAGCAGGCGAGGTGGAGGGAAGTCCAGGGAGAAGCTCTCACATATGCACCCAAGCCCAAGGCTCTGTCTGCCAACTGGCTGAACAGAGCATCCCCAGAAACACGTAAACGGGATGTGGTGGTGCGTGCTTGCAATCCCAGCACTCTGGAGACAAAGGCAGGGAAATGAGGAGTTCAGGGTCATGATCAACTACAAAGCAAGTTGGACCAGCTTGGGCTACATGAGACTCTGTCTCAAGAAACAAACTAAAAGGAGGCCAGGCCATCCCGAACCCCAGTATAACTCCAATTGCCCCTCCTCTCCTCTTTACCACATCCCAGCCCACGCCTCTGGCAGAAGCCTTCCGCCCCATCAGAGCCCAGGACAGCATCCTGAAAACCAGGTAAGCCATCACCCCACCCAACCCCAACCCCTGCTTGCCCACCCAGCATAACCCCAAGTGTCCCTCCTCTCCTAACCAACTAATCCTGGCCCACACCTCTGATGGAAGCCTCCTCTTCCCCCAGAGGCCAGGCCAGCATCCTGAACCCTAGGTAATACAGTGCCCCACCCCACCTGTGCTGGCTCAGAATAACTCCAACTGGCCCTCCTCCTCTCATCCTGATCATCTCATCATATTCTGGCCCGCACCTCAGGTGGAAGCCTTCTACCCCACCAGAGGCCAGGCAAAATCCTGATCCCCAGAGGCTAGCCCAGCATCTGAACCCCAGAGACCAGATCAACTTCCTGAAAACCAGGCAAAAGCCTCCTCTGCACCAGAAGCCAGGCCAGCACCTGAACCTCAGAGGACCGCCGGCCAAAGGCATGCACATACATAGTCAGAACTTCAGCCCCAAACTTCGGTAGCAACCCCTGCTGGACCAGAGGCCATCTACACCATCCGAAGTCCAACCCCAAATGGACAGAGACCCCCTACTCAACCACAGACCACTCCAGTCAGAAGACCAGAGAAGAAACAGACTAATGAAGAAGACACCCATCCAACAAAGACAAACCCAGAAATCAGTGCCTAGATCTACAATCACCTCAAATCCAGATGCTTAAAAGTCAGGGCAAGAACACAATCAACAACAGCAGGGTAATATGTCACCACCAGGGCCCAGCCATCCCACTACAGAAAGCCCTGAATATTCCAACACAGTGCAAGCACAAAAAAAATGACCTTAAAACCAACTTTGTGATGACGATAGAGGTCCTTAAAGAGATGAAGAAATCCCTTGAAGAAATCAAGAAAAGACAACCAAAAAAATGGAGGAAATCAACAAATCTCTTAAAGAAAACCAAGAAGAAAACAATCAGGTGAAAGAAACTATCCAAGACATGAAAATTGAAATAGAAGCAATAAAGAAATCTGAAAGAATTCAGGAAATAGCAAATCTGGGTAAGCGAACAAGAACTACAGACCCAAGCATCACAACAGAATTCAAGAGATGGAAAAGAGAATCTCAGTATTGAAGATACAACAGAAGAAATAGATTCATCTGTTAAAGAAAATGTTAGAGCTAAAAAACTCCTAACACAAAGCATCCAGAAAGTCTGGCACACCATTAAAAGACCAAACCTAAGAATAATAGGAATAAAAGAAGGAGAAGAATCCCAGCTCAAAAAACCAGAAAATAAATTTTACAAAATCATGAAAGAAAATTTCTTTTTTCTTTCATTTTTCTTTATTAAGAAATTTTCTACTCACTCTACATACTATCTACAGATTCCCCCTTCTCCCTCCTCCCACCCCCCAGCCCTCTTTCCCAAGCCACCCCACATTCCCACATCCTCCAAATCGAGGTCTCCTATGGGGAGCCAGCAGAGCCCAGCACACTTAACCTAGGCAGGTCCAAGCCCCTTCCCGCTGCACCAAGTGGATCAAAGACCTCAACATACACCCAGTTACACTAAACTTGGTAGAAGAGAAAGTAGGAAGTATTCTTGAACACACTGGCACAGGAGACCACTTCGTAAATATAACACCAGTAGCACAGACACTGAGACTGACAATTAATAAATGGGACCTCCTGAAACTGAGAAGCTTCTGTAGAGCAAAGGACATGGTCAATAAGACCAAATGACAGCCTACAGAATGAGAAAAGATCTTCACCAACCCCACATCTGACAGAGGGCTGATCTCCAAAATATATAAAGAACCCAAAAAGCTAGACATGAAAATACTGAGCAATTCAATTAAAAAATGGGCTACAGAGCTTAACAGAGAATTCTCAACAGAAGAATCTCAAATGGCTGAAAGGCATTTAAGGAATTGTTCAACATCCTTAGTCATCAGGGAAATGCAAATCAAAACAATTGTGAGATACCATCTTACACCTGTCAGAAGGCTAAGATCAAAAACACTGAAGACAGCTTATATTGGAAAGGATGTGGAGCAAGGGGAACTCTCCTCCACTGTTGTTGGGAATGCAAACTTGTACAACCACTCTGGAAATCAGTATGGCGGTTTCTCAGAAAATTGGGAATAAGTCTTCCTCAAGACCCAATTATACCATTCTTGGGCATATACCTAAAGAATGCTCAATCTTACCACAAAGACACATGCTCAACTATGTTCATATCAGCATTATTCATAAAAGCAAACACTTGGAAACAACCTAGATGCCCCTCAACTGAAGAATGGATAAAGAAAATATGGCACATATACACAATGGAGTACTACTCAGCAGTAAAAAACAATGATATAAAATTTGCAGGCAAATGGATGGAACTAGAAAATATCATCTTGAGT